GGGGGGTCGGTTTTTTGTTTTGGGGGGGGGGGGGGGAGCAGGTAATAGGCAATGGGTGCCTGAGCTGGTGGCATCACACTAGCATGGGCAATGGGTGCTCAGGGCTGCTACATCCCACTAGGTTGGGGCTATGGGCACCCATGAGCAGTACCCTCCGGCAGGCTGTGCCATAGCCTTGGAGCCTTGGGGCTACCAGCCATGTGAAACAGGAGGGATCAGGATTTGGGATGGGGGACAGGAATGATCAGTAGGGCACACAACAATGTCTTTCTCTCTCCTGTTTTCAGCCATGTCCTACTCCCATCCCAGCTTTGCTCCAGGGTCCCATGCTGGTGTCTTCCATCCCAGCAATGGCAAGAAGGGTGCTGGCCTCCAGCCCTCTCCCTCAGCCCTGCTGCACTCACCATGGGACTGGCTAGATCCTGCAGCTGCCACGCTGAATCGAGTGGTGCCCACGCGGTGGCTGGCCACGTTCTTCTGCGGCTGGAAGAGGATGATGTGGAGTTTGGGGGTGAAGAGGCAGCCAAGGACCACGGTGCCGCTGAGGCTCACTGAGATGCACATGGTGGTGGTCTGGACCTGGAGATGGGGCAGTGGAGGGGGCAGCTATCAGGCCAGGCCTGCTGGCTCAACGGGATGCCAGGAACGCTCCACTAAATTGGTCTGTCATGAACCCTCTGCCCCGAGCAGGGCAAGATAAAGCCTGCCCTGGTACATCAGCCAGCTCCAGAGTGCAGAGGCTGCTGCTGAGCCGTGGGGAAGGGCCATTGCCACGTGCATCCTGCTCCATGGGACATACTGGGGGAGGAGGGAGTGGGGCAGCATATTCCTCCTTGCCCTTCCCCAAGCTGGGACCCACGCAGGGCCAAGGAAAAGATATTGGGGCCAGCAGCCATGGCCAACTCTTCTTTCCCATTTGCCTGCACTGCTCAGGCAAACTGGATGGCACATCCCATACCAAATCTCCCCATCAGGGTTGCCCCACTCAATAGGCTGAAACCCCATTGCCATGGAAAAGCCTGTCAGGCCAGTGCCTGCGTCCAGCTGGAGACTTGTGGGTAGAAGGCGGCCACTGCCCAAAGGGGACATGCTGCCTGTGCATGCTGTATCCTGGGAATGCCTCAAACAGCCCACCAATGTGCTCTATGCACTGAGCCACACT